CAGGGTTTCTCTGTGTAGCTTTGCGCCTTTCCTGGAACTCACTTGGTAGCCCAGGCTGGCCTCGAACTCACAAAGATCCGCCTGCCTCTGCCTCCCGAGTGCTGGGATTAAAGGCGTGCGCCACCACCGCCCGGCTTAATAAGAACTTTTTAAGATTCCCGCTATATATGTGTGGATGAACTGGGGGCACAGTGCATTACTGCAGGTCTAGAATTCCATCCTCCTTGTAATTGCCTCTGTGCAACATGTGTTTGCTCTCCATACTCCAGCTCTGGTATCTCACAAGCCTCTGCTTCTTAGTGTTGGGCTGTGTTAGAAACCTTTTCTCAGTTGAGTCATAAAGGTATGGCACACCATCCTTGAGTTCATCCATATTCGTCACTTAGTTGAGCATCTCTCTTTCAAGGTGTATAGGTGTGAGACATGGTTTCATTCTGTAGCCCAGGCTGTCTTAGAGTCTACTTTATAGCCAAGGCTGACATGGAAGTCACTACTTAGCCTAGGCTGGCCTCAAACTGGTGATGATCCTCCTGTCTCACTCTGTGTAGTGCTCAGGTTACAGGTATAAACTATCACAACCAGGCAATTTCCTTCACTTTAAATGATAAATAGCATTCCATTGTGTGCTTGTGCTGCATTTTTTTCTACTGATGTCCACAATGGACACATCAGCTGTTTCTGTATATCCACTGTTATAAACAACACTGCATAGAGCATCGGTGTACTGGGATCTCTCAACATTATAGAATTTCAATTTCTTTGAGCTCTGAAATTGTACTTAGTTATAAATGTTTAATTAAAAAAGTGCTCTAATAACAGAATACTGGAAAATAATAATTTTCACTATTCCCCTTTCTTTTGTAGGCACAAATGTTGAAGGACACTGGTTCTGCTATGGCGTAAAATGTTATTTCATCATGGACAATAAACACTGGAGTGGATGTAATCAGACCTGCCAGGGCTGCAGCTTATCCCTTTTGAAGATAGATGATGATGATGAACTGGTACTGTAAACTCTTAACATGTCCATTTCTTCTCTTAGACTCTGTCTCTAACCCTTGGATAGTGAGATGCTGAGCCCGGGTAGGTTCACTGAAAGAGAGACCTCTAAGTGTTGTGAAAGGTTTGCCTGTAACGTGAGCAAAAACTGTGCAGTAAGAGTATCCTAGGCTACTCCTTCCTGCTCCTGGCTTAGGGTCAGGACACAGGGTCTGTTATGAGGACACTGATTCCTAAAGAGACAGTTGTGTCTTTGCAGGATTCTTCCTTTCTCAGGTGTCTGCAAGAGAGTCCCTCAGAGAAGCATGTTTTCCTGGAATAAGTTTAAATCTTTGGTACAGCACATCCTGTGACCGACAGTTATGTATCTCCATAGAGTGCCAACTCCACCCAGAGAGGCCACTGTCTAGGGTTTGCTCTTTGGAACCCGAAAGTGAGACTGCCTGAGATGAGTAATTGGATGACAATAGAGAAAGTAACTGACCTCTGGGCCAGTTTGAAAAATGGAAATACATGAGATTCATAGAATTAAGTAGTTTTACCAGGTAGCTCCAATGTGATTGTCATTGAAACTCTCCATAATCTTTACTTCATACTATTTTTATGTTTTTTTAAAAAAAGATGTCTATTTTTAGAAATGAGTAATTAAAAGAAAACAAAGGTGCCAAGATGCTAACATTTTCTGTTTAAATTATTACTAACAAAATATCTTTTGATATGAAGACTACATTTTTCTAGAGAAAAGGCTGAATGATCAGTTTGAAACCTTTGCCATTTAGAGCATGGTACAAAATTTATACACCAATTTAATATATGTATAAAAAGTTATAACATAAAAAATTTTTAAAGTCAAGTAATAATGTAAATTGCCTTTTGATATAGTAATCATAATTAAATTTAAAACCACATTTTAAAATATATTCAATCATTTAATTAGACATCATGCCACTTGGATGTCACATGTAAGGCACTAAATTTTTCCAAATATCTGTCCCTTTCCTCCTCAATTTCTGTCACTTCCAGGTCTGAACTTGAGAAGAAGATTCTTCTCTGGAGCATGGAGCTTAATGCACAGCTTTTTACACAGTACTTTTCCTCTTAATAAATTTGCTATGAAGACAGGGTGTTACTTACCATATGAACACTTCCCACATGCCTCTGTGGTCTTTGGGGATGCACAGTTGAATAATTTCATAGAGTGTCAGAAGTTATTTTATGAACCATGTATGCAGCGTGCTGGTTCTTAAGAGCCACAAGCAGTAGTATTGTGAGTTCCTGGTCGGCCTTGGTTATACAGTGAGACTTGGTCTAAGAAACACAGACACAAATCATTTCATAAACCCAGTATCTCTAGACACTTGCTGTTTTCATTTTAAATAACTTGTGTAACTGACATTGGTTTTTACACAAATGAGCCTCTAGTGGGAAATGCCTTGAAAAATGAACTTGGAGGGACTGAAGGGCTGGAGGACAGGACCGCAGAGACCTGACATACGAATAGCTGGGGGCTGCTATGTTGTTCTTTTCTCACCAAACGGTAGGAAATTTATCATCAGGTGTGTCTTTTCTCTTACAGAAGTTACTAAAGTCCCGGCTTACTAAAAACAGTTACTGGATTGGATTAAAATATGATGAAAAGAGTCAGAAATGGCAATGGATTGGCAATGGCCCATCTAAACTGTGAGTCTCCTGAACCCTCACCCTCCAGTATTGGTGCATTGTAGGGAGGGTGTCATGCAAAGGATTTTCTCTCATTTCACATGGCTTTCCTCATTTTCAGTGGAGCTCAGGGCTAAGGACAAGATGCATAAGACAGTGTTTGAGCAAGTGCTAGACTGTCAAATGTTAACGAACTGGACATGGTTAATGTAAATCTTGACTGTATATATTGTATATACTTATTGTATATAGTTTTTCTTGTATTAGTTATAACCTTCTTTTGTTATTTTAGACAAAAAATGGGAAATGTAGTGATATATTGTTTACCCTAATAAACTTGCATGAAGATCAGAGGACAGAGCCAGCCACTAGATTAGACATAGAGGTCAGGAAGTGGTGGTACACACCTTCAATCCCAACACTTGAGATCTCATGCCTTTGCTTAGGAAGCACACATGCCTTTAATTCCAGGAAGTAATTTGGCAGGCAGAGAAAGGTATATAAAGTGTGAGGAAACAGGAACGTACTCTCTTTAAGCTGAGGATTTCATAGAGACAAGAAGTAGTGGCTGGCTGCTTTGCTTCACTGATCTTTCAGCTTTCACCCTGATATCTGGCTCTGTTTTTTTTTTTTAATTTTTTTATTAAAAGACCATCTAAGATTCAAACAAGTTTGCTTGATATTCTATAATCTTCTTGTACCTTTATAGGTATGTCCTTTTTAGGATGGAAAAATTTTCTTCTATGATTTTGCTGAATATATTTTCTGGGCCTTTGGAGAGGGATTCTTCTCCCTTTTCTATTCCTATTTCTCTTGTTTGTTCTTCTCATAGTGTCCCTGACTTTCTGGATATTTTGTGTTAGGATGTTTTTATATTAAATATTTTCTTTGACCAATTAATTTATTCCTCTATTATATCTTCAACACCTGAGATTCTCTCTTCCATCTCTTGTATTGTTAGTGATGCTTGCATCTCTAGTTCCTGTTCCTTTATCCAGGGTTTCCATTTCCAGAATTTCCTCAGTTTGTGTTTTCTTTATTGTTTTTGTTTCATTTTCAATTTCATTTTCAGGTCTAGAACGGTTTTATTTGTTTTTTGTCAACTGTTTTATTTGTTTCTGTTTTTTATTTTTTTTTGGTTTTCTTAACATCCTTTAAGAGCTTTATTGATTTCCTCCAATTATTTTATTTGTCTTTATCTCTATTTCTTCAAGGGAGTTTTTAATTTTCTCTTTAAGGACCTCTGTCATCCTCATTAAGTTATTTTTATCATTGTTTTCTTGTGTTTCAGTTGCATTGGAATGTTCAGATCTTGCTATTGTAGGATATCTGGGTTCTGGTGGTGGCATATTGCCCTTTCTGTTATTGATTGTGTTCTTATACTGGAGTATAGGCATCTGGATTTGGGATGTTTATAGGTCTAGATGTTGATTCCTGCATTTGTGTTTGTTGGATGGGTGTTTTGTCCCCCTTTTCTGTTTCATCTCTTGTCTTCTGGCTAATTGGCCAAGTGTTCTGGTGACTGGAGAGTCTTTAGGTGCAGTAGTGAGTCTCCACTTGGGTTTTTTGGGTCTTGTGTCCCTAGGTCCAGCCTGGCCTCCAGTGTAGCTGAAATCTTCTTCTGGCCTCCAGTGCAGCTGAAGTCTTCTTCCTAAGTTGTAGACCAGAATATGGAGCCCAAGTGAGGGGGTGCTAGTCTTCTGACTGGTGTGGACTGTACTTGGGCCTATGGAGTCTGCTGGAGTTATTGAGCCATGGGAAGAATGATGAGCTGGAGGGTTTTGGTGGAAGAGAGAGTCTTAGGGGAACAAAATCCTGGGGGCATTATGGCAGTCCAGCTAGGAGGCTGGTCACTCACTGAATAGACCACTGGTGAGGACTGTACAAGAAGAGCAGTGGAATTCCACCTGAATTGGAAACAGGACCCAGTAGCAGTGTTGGTGCTGATGGGGGGTGAAGGCATGGAATGTGCTATGGGGTATAGGGTCTGGAGACTGGGGCAGCTCGGCTGGAAGGTCTGTCACTCACCTGTTCTTCCAACTGGAGTGTGCTGTACCTGGTCTATGGAGTCTGCTGAAGTTGTGGGGAAGGGCTGGCCACAGGGAGGATGATGAGGTGTAGGGATTGGGAGTGGAGTAGGTCTTGGGGAAAAAGAATCCAGGAGGTAATAACAGACCATCTGGGAGGTGGGCTACACACTCCATGGTTGAATGTTGGGGACTCCCTTTTTGTTTGTAATAGGTAGGCTTGCCTTGAACTCCTGATCATTCCATCTCCATCTCTCAGGTTCTGGGACTACAATAAGGCATGACTGGGCCTTTCCTGTCTTTATCTCTGGAAAGATATCAACCATACTCATTTAACACAAATTAGGTGGTAATCCTAGTGTCTGAAGTTCTATGGTTTAATGTACTGTTCTGTGGATGTTGCTCATGATGCCATTTAAAAAAATTTTTTTTGTGGTATTTACTGAGTTTTTTTTTTTCAGCTGCCACAATAACTATCGGAAGCAGTGGTATTTACAGTGGTAACTTTCCCAGGAACCTTTGATTCTGTGTCTAGGCACACATCAAATCTGGCTCACTTCTATTCTAAATCTGGCCCTGCCAGTGTGGACAGTCAGATTCCAAATCTGCAGGAAAATAATTTACTTGCTTTCCTCCAAGGACACCCTCAAGCAGGCTGTCACAGAGGTGGACAGACTGTCACAGGGGTGATCAAAAAGAGAAGGCCTTATAGGGTGTATTAATATGTTCAAAGCACATAGATTAGTATTGTTATTAATTTTGGCTTTTCTCTATGAAGTATCATTCATACAGGCTAACTCTGCTATTCCTATCTTTACTTTTCAAGGTAGAATCAAACTAGAATTGATGGTGTTTACCATGAATGGCCACAGAGTTAATACATTTGTATTATACTGCACCAGACAGAGTGAAATGGGCAGGTAGTAACATGTAGAGTGAGGTACCAGGGATTGAAAGGATGCCTTCTCCCAGGTTAAGGGATCTTTGTAGTCCTTGCCTATGCTGCAGAACTGTTCCCTGTGATGGTGTGATTACTAGGGCCAGACATGAGGCTTCAGAATAGAAGGCCCATGATCAGAAGGTTTCTGTGGTTTCCACAAGCATTTTCTCCAGTGGGAAGATGCAGTAGCTTGGACATCTCTTTCAGTGTAAGATTCTAATGGACCTAGTGAGAAGCTATGATCTTAATCTGTATTTCTTGGGTAGAGGATTAGGTGTGCTCCAACATGGAAGTAAAGTTAAGAGCTCATGATGCAGAATGTGTACTCCATGTCTGTCTTGTGAACAGTTACTGTCTTCTGGGTCTTTTCCTCTTTGCCCATGTTCAACATATATGTTTTATTTATTGTCCCATCATCATATCTCATGGCTGACCGATATGCATACTCATTCCTACTGTACCTCACCTGTTCTGTCTATGATCCATGGGCCGCTTAGTTTCATTTATCTGCCTCTTTTGTTCCTAGGATAAATCTAAATACTCTGTTTCAACCTGGTTTAAATTCAGGGCTGAAGGTAGGTTATCTTTTGTTGGAGATTTATCTGTTTGTCCTCTCAGCCCCACGGAGTTCTCTGTTTTTCACTCCCTTTCTACTGTTCTTTGAACAGATTCTCATCAGGCTAGTGTGGTTAAAAGTCTCTGTGTTGCCCAGGCTGTAACACCTTGTCCTGTTTGCCACATACATTTATTTTTCTTGTTTTTTAAAAATGTCTTTATTGAAAAAAGCATCATAGGAAATCAACTGTAGTGTAAAATTATTCCTTAGCAATACTGGAAGTTAATTTCACTTGATGATGAAAAGTTAACAGTGTGGAAGAGATAAAGAGTAGAATTGTGATTAAGAAATTATTTTTCTGTTTATTTATTATTATTTTTTTATTTTTCTGTGAATGTATATGTAATCATGTTACAGCACATCTGTGGTTAGAGGACAATGTAAGTAGCAGGACTCACTTCTCTCCTTCTACTGTGTGGTATCTGAGGACTAAATTTGTGTTGTCATGTTTGGTGGCAATGGCTTTTATCCACTGAGCCATGTGGCCCAATGGCCAGAGACCATTTCTCATGAATTTGGAAAAAACAAAACATCATTAGTGAAGATTTAATTAATTAATTAGCCAATTAATTCTATATTTTGTATATTTTGGTCTATAATCTTTGTAAAATCATGGCCTGAATCAATATAAGCTTCAAATTTAATAACTTCCCATTATATATTTTGTTTTATAGTAATTTGATGACAAAATCATTGAAGGGACGTAGAGGCTGTGCATTTCTCAATTTTGGAGGTATACGTAGTGATGACTGTGGTATAAAGCACCCCTGTGTCTGTGAAAAGAGAATGGATAAATTCCCTGATTGAATTGTACAATGTGAAGGAATTGTAAAATGTGTGAAGGAAAAGTAAAAATGGAACATTTTGTCATCTTTGATGGTTTCCTGAGATGATTTGTGTCTACTTAGTGACCGAATGTCTTAACCACAGGACTCAGTCAGCCAAGCAAACAGGGTAAGGAATGGCAAAGGGAAGAAATGTTCTTCTGAAACCTGACTTAACATAGCAGAATCCATCTTACTTCCAGTAAACACAGCAGCTTATGTCTGGAGAATGGATGCCATTTGTCCCAAGCCTGCAGTATCATTCTCTTTGTTTCCTGGATGATGCACAGATCCAAATGCGGAACCTTGAAAAACAGCACACCCATCTCCTTCTCAATAGGAAGCCACTTCTGTACTCCACTGCTCTCACATCACAGTTATGAACTAGGATGCAGTTTTAGACCTGTCTGTTAGTTGATTGGTTAGTGTTTGTTATGTATGCATGGAATGTTATTTTGTATGTAGAAGAATTTATTTTTCATAGAATATTCCTTTGCTGTAAAATATATTTCCGGATTGAACGAACAGTTGCCTGGATAGTTCAAGGAACTCATACAACTGTAGTGGGTGGCTGTTCCAGTTTTGACCTGGAAGTACTACCCCCATTGAGGTTTCTGGTAACTGTCATGTCTATAAAGCAGGGCCAAGACAGGAGCCCTTAAGACCTGAGATCCTGATGTGCCAGCTCTCTTGGTTCCTGGATCCTGGACGCTGGAGGTAGACCGAGCAGAGTTCTCCAGAGAACACCTCTGGACTGCACTCACCTCTCCTGTACCCTGTAACCTATCCCTTTACTTGTAAGTTACCCCAGAAAAAAAAAAAAACACCTCCATTTTAACTATGTGTAGTTGCCGTAATAGTTCAACCAATATACAACCATCCATAGTGCTTATGTGTTCTCATCCTCTCTTTGTCTCTGTCTGTTTCTCTCCTCTCTCTCTCTCTCTCTCTCTCTCTCTCTCTCTCTCTCTCTCTCTCTCTCTCTCTCTCTCTCTCTCTCTCTCTCTCTCTCTCCTCTCTCTGTGTGTCATTTATTTGCTCACAAGTAGAGACCACATATTAATTGAGGCCAGCTGGATGACATGGCTCACACTTATAATCTTATAGGTACATGAGTTTGGGTACAGCCTAGATTGCACAATAAGTTTGAGGTTATTGTGCTACAGAGTGAATGAGACTGTCTCATGAAGCATAGTAATAATAATGATGATTATAATAATAAAGCTAAACTATCCATAAATATTTCCTAGCGATAAGCAGTTTCTTTTATAGCATCATACTAAAACTATAAAGCTTGATAAATTTAGTATTGACTGAGTAATATGCTCTATTCCATAACCCATATTCATATTTTCTATATCATATCACTGTCAATATTTCCTCACTTTCACTATCATTAGTGAATTCACTTGTAATGTCCTTTAGGTCTAAAATTGTTATTGACTTATGATGTCTGTTTTTGGACGTGATATTAAAAAAAAATCAAATTTTTACCTTATAGTGTGTATGTAACAAAATGTACCCACTCTAAGTCATAAACAATATAAGTTTTAAAATCTATGTACATCTCTTCAAGAAACATTGTGCATGCTATTTTTATGTCAACTTGACACAAGTTAGATACATCTGAGAGGGGTAACCTCAATTGAGAAAGTGAATCAATAAGATTCTGCTATAGGCAAGCGTAAAGGGAATTTTCTTTTCTTTTTTTCTTTTTGTGAGTTTTAAAAAAGATTTATTATTATTATTTTTTAATTTAAAAAATTAACTTAATTAAATAAAAATTTTAATTTGTTTTACATACCAACCACAGATGCCCCAACCCATCCCTCCTCCTGCTCCTCTTCAGCCTCCCCCCTCCAAAAGTGTAAGGGCTCCCATTGGGAGTCAGCAAAGCCTGGTACATTTGGTTGAGGCAAGACCAAGCCCCTCCCCCAACATCTAGGCTGAGCAAGGCATCCCACCTTAGGTAATGGGGTACAAAGAGCCAGCTCATACACCAGGGATAAATCCTGATCCTACTTCCAGGGTCCCCTCAAACATTCCAAGCTACATAACTGTTTCCAGTATGCAGAGGGCCTAGTCCAGTCCCATGGATGCTCTACAGATGTCAGTCTAAAATTCATGAGTTCCTAAGAGCTTGGTTCACTTGTCTCTTTAGATTCCCCCATCATGATCTTGAGTCCCTTTGCTCATATAATCTACCTCAAGACCCAATGATACCACTCTTGGGCATATACCCAAGGCATGCTCAAACTCGCCACAAGGACACTTGCTCAACTATGTTTATAGCAGCATTATCAGTAATAGGCAGAACCTGGAAAAAAACCTAGATGCCTCTCAACCAAAAAATGAATAAAGAAAATGTGGTACATATACACTCAGCAGTAAAAGGCAATGACATCATGAAATTTGCAGGCAAATGGATGGAACTAGAAAATATCATCTCGAGTGAGGTAACCCAGTCTCAGAAAGACAAACAGATACAAATATGTACTCACTTATAAGTGGATACTAGATGTAAAGCAAAGGGTAACTAGACTACAAACCACAGCTCCAGAGAAGGGATACATAGATAGCCTTGGGAAGGAGAAATAGATGAGAACTCCATGAGTACACTGGGCATGGGGGTGGGCAACAGTGGGGAGGGGGATGTGGGATGAGAACATGAGGGAACAGGATAGTCAAGCTGGAACAGGGATGGAGTGGGAGAGCAATGAAAGAGGTATCTTGATAGAGGGAGCCATTATGGGGTTAGGGAGAAACCTGGTGCTGGGGAAATTGCCAGGAATCCACAAGAACAGCCCAACCTAGACTACTAGCAATAGTGGAGAGGGTGCCTGAACTGGCCTACCCTGGTAATCAGATTGGTGAATACCCTAACTGTCATCATAGGGCCTTCATCTAGTAATTGATGGAAGCAAACACAGAGATCCACAGCCAAGCACCAGGCTGAGCTCTGTGAGTCCAGTCAAAGAAAGCAAAGTCAAAGAAAGGGAATTTTCTTAATTAGCAATTGATTGGGTGGGCCCTATCTATTGTGGATGGTGCCATCCCTGGGCTGATGTTCCTGGATTCTGTAAGAAAGGAGGCTGAGTAAGCCATTGGGAGCTTCCTGTAACCAGCACTCCTACATGATTTCTGCATCAGCTTCTGCCTCCTGGTTCCTGACAGGTTTTAGTGTCTGTCCTGACTTCCTTCAGTGATGGATTGTTATTTGGAATATTAGCAAAACAATCCCTTTCCTTCCCAAATTGTTTTGGTCATGGTGTTTCATCACAGTAATAAATACCTTAATGGAACAATCAAAACCTAAAAGGGAATTTTTTTATTTTTTTTTAACCACTGAAAGTTCTTTTCTGGCAACTGTTCCCTGAGACAGAGCCTGCCAGCATTTGACTGGACTAAGAGGCAAGTCTCTATCCTCATACTCAAACACCCTATCCCCTAGGCTTTGGTCCCAGGGGCACAACCCTGTGCCCCTACATCCCCACACATTGCAGTTCCAGTTTCAGGCCAGTTGGTAGGCAGACCTGCTGAACACAGGTTAGACTATCCCCATCCCCTGTCAGATCCTGTAACCCAAGCCCCACCTCCCCCAAATCCCACCTACCTTTGAGACTGCAACTGTTCCCTGAGACAGAGCCTGCCAGCACCTAACTGGACTAAGAGGCCAGTTGGCAGGCAGACCTCCTGCAGACAGGTCAGACTACCACCATCTACCACACTCTAAGACTGCAGCTATTCCCTGAGACAGAGCCCACTAGCACCAGATGGACTAAGAGCTGCTTCCTAAGACAAAAAGTCTATCAGCATCGACTAGACCAAGAGCTCCCACTGGATCAAGAGTATCAATCAGACCAACAGAGGCTCCTTCAGACACAGACACAACTTACACCAAGTGGAGAAAGAAATGGGTAGATGCCAGTGCAAAAATACAATCAACAACATAAAAACCAATATGGCTCCATCAGAACCTACATCAGCAAGACCTGAACATCCCAACACAGAAGAAACAGAAGATATGTACCATAAAAAGGACTTTAAGAAGGTATTAGAGATCTTAAAAGAGGAAATGAAAAATTCCTTTAAAGAAATCAAGGAAAAGTCAAACAAATATGGGAAAAAATCAGTAAATCCCTTGAAAGCCAAGAGAAAGCTTAAACAAGTAAGGGAAACTGTTCAAGATTTCCAAACTGAAATGGAGTCAATAAAGAAGACGCAAACTGAGGTAATGCTGGAAGTGGAAAATCTGAGTAAATGAACAGGAACAGATGCAAGTATAACTAACAGAATGCAAGAGATGGAAGAGCAGATCTCTGGCATTGAAGATAGGGTAAAATAAATAGATTCATCAGTCAAAGAAAACATTAAAGCCAACAAAGTCATGACACAAAATGTCCAGGAAATTTAGGGCACCATGAAAAGACCAAACCTAAGAATAATAGGGATAGAAGAAGGAGAAGAATACCAACTCAAAGGCACAGAAAATATATTCAACAAAATCATAGAAGAAAACTTTCCCAACCTAAAGAAGGAAATGCCTATAAAAATATAAGAAGGTTACAGAACACCAAATAGACTGGTCAAAAAAAAAAAAAAGTTCCCTAGCCACATAATAATCAAACCACTAAACACACAGAATAAAGAAAAAAATATTAAGAGCTGCAAAGGAAAAAGGCCAAGTAGCATAATGGCAAACTCATAAGAATGACACCTGACTTCTCAGTGGAGACTCTAAAAGCCAGAAGGTCCTGGACAGACATTATGCAGATACTAAGAGACCATGGATGCCAACCCAGATTATTATACCCAGCAAAACTCTCCATCAACATAGACAGAGTAAACAAAATATTCCATGATAAAACCAGATTTAAACAATATCTCTCCACAAATCTAGTGCTACAGAAAGCACTTGAAGGAAAAATCCAACCTAAGGAAGTTAGATACACCCATGAAAACACAGGCAATAGATAGTCCCATACCAACAAATACCAAAGAAGGGAAATGTACAACATTACCACCAAAAAAAAACAGGAATTAACAATAACTGGTCATTAAATCCATCAATATTAATGGTCTCAATTCACCTATAAAAAGACACAGGCTAACAGAATGGATACGAAAACAAGATCCATCCATTTGCTGCATACAAGAAATACACCTCAACTTCAAAGACAGACATCACCTCAGAATAAAAGGCTGGGAAAAGACTTTCTAATCAAATGGATTTAAGAAGTAAGCTGGTGTAGCTATCCTAATATCTAATAGATATCTACAGAATATTCCACCTGAACACAGAAGAATATACCTTCTTTTCAGTACCCCATGGAACCTTCTCCAAAACTGACCACATGCTTGGTCACAAAGCAAATCTCAACAGATACAAAAAAATTGAAATAACCTCCTGCGTCTTATCAGACCACCATGGCTTAAAGTTAGATTTCAATAACAACAAAAATTATAGAAAGCCTACAATCTCATGGAAAATGAATAATGCCCAATTGAGTCACCAATGGGCCAAGGAAGAAATAAAGAAAGAAATTAATGATTTCCTAGAATTCAATGAAAATGAATGTACAATATACCCACACTTATGGGACACTATGAAAGCAGTGCCAAGAGGAAAATTCATAGCACTAAATGCCCACATAAAGAAGTTGGAGAAATCCCACACTAGTGACTTAACAGCACAACTGAAAGCTCTAGAACAAGAAGAAGCAAACTCACCCAGGAGAAACAGATGCCAGGAAATAATCAAATTGAGGGCTGAAAACAATAAAATAGAAACAAAGAGAACAATACAAGAGTCAATGAAACAAAAAGTTGGTTCTTTGAGAAAATCAACAAGATAGATAAGCCCTTATCCAAATTAACCAAAAGACACAGAGAGAGAACATCCAAAGTAACAAAATCAGAAATGAAAAGGGGGACATAACAACAGACAATGAAGAAATCCAGAGAATCATCAGGTCATACTTCAAAAACCTGTACTCCACAAAATTAGAAAATCTGAAAGAAATAGACAATTTTCTGGATAGGTACAACATACCAAAGTTAAATCAAGATGAGATAAATTATTTAAATAGACCAATAACCCCTAATGAAATAGAAACAGTCATTAAAAGTCTCCCAACCAAAAAAAGCCCAGGACCAGATGGTTTCAGCGTAGAATTCTACCAGATTTTCAAAGAAGAGCTAATACCAATACTCTTCAAATTGTTCCACACCATAGAAACCTCGATTTGGGGGATGTGGGGATGTGGGGATATGGGGTGGCTTGGGAAAAAGGGCTAGGGGGTGGGAGGAGGGAGAACGGGGGGTCTGTGGATAGTATGTGGAGTGAGTAGAAAATTTCTTAATAAAGAAAAATGAAAAAAAAAAAAGAAACAGGAATGGTACAGATAGATGCAGCAAGGTAGTAAAATTATCATTGTTTTTCAGGTAAAAAAAAAAGTTCTTTCCTGCCTTGGCCTCCCCACCTATGCCCAGATAAGCAGGTATATGCTCTCTTGTACTGTAAATTAATAAGGCATATTTCATAGTTTTGTTATATAAGTACAGATTTCTAATTAGCTCCATATTTCTTTGCATCTTTTGCTATTATTATTATCATTATTATTCTTTATCTAACTCAAGCTTTTTCATGGATCAGT